TCTCTCTCTCTCTCTCTCTCTCTCTCTCTCTCTCTCTCTCTCTCTCTTTCTCTCTCTCTCTCCCTCCCTCCCCTGCTCAGCTCTCTCTCTATCAAAATAAATAAACTTTTGTAAAAAAGTATCAACCTTATCATTATTTGTCAAAGAAATAGATAAAATCCTGTGCTTATTTGACTCAGAAAGAGCTAAGTTAGAACCCTGAATCAACCACTTAATATATGTGACTTTGGGTGTAATGTTTTTTCTCCCTGTGTCCACAGGGAAAATTAGGATAATAAAAGAGTATTTATCTCATATACATTTTTAAAGAGATAATATATACACCGTGCTTAACTCAGAGCTTGGCATTTATCTAAAACTCGCTATCAGTTACTATTACTGATTGTTATTAGTTTAAAAAGGTCAGTGTGTACCAATTTATTAGGTTGGTGACACAGGTGTTTCTTTAGTTGCAGCTCTCTTAGCTGAGATCAACTAGTAAAACTCTTTCAAAAGCAATAATTATTGAGCAGGTACTTTGTAAGTATAGTGCTAATCACTGGAGACAAAAGATTAAGAAATAGATATCACCTGTTCCCTTATGGGGTTATAATCTAATAAGGACGGTAAGCACTTAAAAAGTATCTCACAACTAAATATATAATTATAAATTGTGTAGGTGCTGTAAAGAAGAAGTAAAATTTGTAGCTGGAGAGAGGGAAACAGAATCTGAAGCAAGCTCCAGGCTCTGAGCTGTCGGTACAGAGCCCAAGGCGGGGCTTGAACACATGATCCGTGAGATCATGACCTGAGCTGAAGTCGGACGCTTAATGGACGAAGCCACCCAGGCGCCCCGGGAAAGGTATTTAAAATACAGTTTGGGGGCACCTGGGTGGCTCAGTCAGTTAAGCATCTGACTTTGGCTCAGGTCATGATCTCGGAGCTGGTGGGTTCGAGCCCCGTGTCAGGCTCTGTGCTGACAGCTCAGAGCCTATGTCTCCTTCTCTCTCTGCCCCTCCCTCACTCATGCTCTGTCTCTGTCTCTCTCTCAAAAATAAATACACATTAAAAATATTCTAGTAAGAAATAAATTACAGTTTGAAAGGCAAAGACAAAAATAAATTTAAAATTTCTAATTATTAGGTAAAATGATTGTTACATGAAAAGAAAAACCATAAAGCAGAGAGTTTCCATGCAAACTCAGAATTCCTTCTAATCCTGTATTTCTGTGATTCCATGAACAGCAAGAGAATTTTAAAAAAAATTTTTACTATAGTTGACACACAATGATGTTACATTATTTTCATAGTGATTCAACATCTCTACACGTTATGCTAGGATCACCACAAGTGTAGCTACCATCTGTCACCACACAATAATACTGTGATACCATTGACTATATTCTCTACACGGAAAGAGAATTTTAATTGGCAGTTAACTCTTTAGTAATTAGACCCGGATGATTATAGCTGAATATTCAAAATCCCAGGCTAAAATTTCTATCTCAATTTTAAAGCCAAAGAAGTACACATGAACAGAAAGATATTATTGAAACTTGATGGGATGAGATTCATGATGTGCAACAGTGAAAGGGCACAGCTTATCAAAAAGAAACAGATGCAATAGAAAAAGGAAGGCACTCTGCACTGTATGGGGATTCAAAGTTGAGAGTAGACATATGGTAGGAAAAAATTTATGTGTCAAAAAGAAAACCAAATGTGAGAGTAACAAGAATCCTTGAAACTTATAGACCAGAGAGAGAATATAGATGACATTTTCCTTAAATAAATAAAATACTTGGAGAGTCAAGCTGTAGTAGTGAAGAACTCCAATTATCCTTACAACTCTTAGAGGGCTTAACTCATCAACAGAGTATAAAATATGTTTTCTTGCCTTGATACCAATTTAGTTCTTCAGATGGGAAAAGAAGCAACTTGAGAATCTATTACTCTGAGTCTAATTTTGACCACCAGAGAAGTGATTTGTTATGTAATGTATTCCAAATTTTGGGAGAGGCCATTTTGCTTCAGGGATTTTAATAATGAAGGAATAAAAAAAATATTCACAACATATTCCTTGGAAGAGCACTAACTTTTGGATGTGAACCTTTATGCCATGTAACTCATTACTCTTGGAAGGCTCTTAAAATAATAAAATGTCATCTAGGCCCACTACTATATTCTCATGATGAAGCTGTTTATTCATCCAGGTAAGATGTAGGTCTCATTGATCAGGTACTTTCCATTTAACTGAACTCTAAATGGGTGATGAGTGTGGAGAGCTTCAATTGTTGGCCTCTAAATACCTATGTTAGCCAAGACTTTACTGAAAACGATGGTTCTCAAACGTTAAGATATATTAGAATCAACTGGAAGACTTTTTAAAACACAGTGCTCTATGCTCCATCTCCAGAGTTTTTGTTTTAGAAGGTCTGAAAATTTGCATCGCTAACTAGTTCCCAGACACTGATGCTACCAGTCTTCTGACCACTTTGGGAACCTCCTATCTAACAGAAGAAACAATATCATGTTGAAACGTCTGTAATGAAAACCTTCTCTTAAGGCAGGTGAAATCAGTGGCTCAATTCTCCTCTTTCTGCCAGAAAAGGAGCCACTCCCCAGTTTCTCAATCCTGTCTACACAATAGTAACCCTCCCTGGGAAGTTTTTAAAAAATATTTCTGTCCAGGCTTCCTCTACCTCTGGCTCTGATTAAATGAATCTGCACTTCCAACCCGATCATCCCACCCAGTTAAGTTTCCAGGTGATTCTATTCTGCAATCAGTGTTGAGAATCACTGACCTTCATGTTGACAGGTCTTGAGCATTTAGCTCCTCAACCTGATCCTGTTGGCACCGCCAGTTAACAGCTGTCATCTAAGCAACTTACCCTCAAACCTTGAGTTAATTGGGCATCATGCATTAGTGAGGAGCTAAACACAAAAAGGGTTACCACCATCTAGAAACCTTAATTTTGAGTTGACGGGTCAAATACTAAACATTTTTACTACCATGGGCAACAACAAACAAGCATGTCTTGAATAGTTACAACATACCAGGGGAAAACAACCCTTCATGTTCATTCCGCAAGTAAAGAGGGAGCCCTGGTTCTCACACACAGGAACTTAAGTTGTTAGCTTCCTATCAGCATTTTCAGAGACGATAATCTTACCTATTGCCCTGGAAAATCCCTTTGCAAAAGTCAAGGCTGGGGGGAGGATAAAATTGTTGTAATGGACGGTACACAGTAGCTGCTCAAATGTGACTCACTTAAAGCCTGATAATTTTATGCAAGTGAAATTTTCAGAAACGTAAGCTCTTCTTTCAAATAACAATATTTCCCTTTGTTTTAAAATCAATGACTGTCAATTCTACCTATATTCTTTGTATCCAATACCTAATGCTTTTTTTTTTACCTCTGAAACCAATGACTGAATTGCTGCACATAAAAAAGAATGGGAAGTGAATTTTAATTCTACCTTGTTCATTTGAGTTTCATTCCTTATTTATATGTCCTAAAAAACCACTCCCCAAATCAATGGACTAGCATATATGGACACATGTTCATTATATTATTTTTTTTCTCAGGACTGTGTTCAGGAACAAACTGATAGATGTTGATAGAAGTTATGGATATTGCTCATATATTATCTATCTTCTAAGCAATGAAAAAAGATTATCTACAAAGTTACGGATATTGCTCATATATTATCTATCTTCTAAGCAATGAAAAAAGATTATCTACATGAAAAAGATTATCTACATGATAGCTGTATACGTTACCAGTGATCATTTCATCTGCATTCAAGTGAAATATTTAACCATTATCATTATAAGAATATCATATAGTTTACTAAAACAACTGATCATATTTGCCTCTAGATTAAAGAAAACATATTACTTTATATTTGCAAAGGTAAGTAGGCATTTTCATAACTACCATGACAAATATTTAAATATATGTAACTAAATTTTCAACCACAAGTTCTTAATGTTTATTGCTTCTGAACATATTTTCCTCAATTCAATAACTTTTCTAATAACAAATAATTTGTGCAAGAGATTTAGTGTGCTTACTAAACACTAAAGTTCAGTACATGCAACACAGAGAATCTAGAAGTGCTAAGGAAAGAGTGAAGAAAGATCACCTCAGAAACTCAGAAATTTACTTACAGAATTCAACCCTAGAGTACTTGGTAAGTGTTATGTTTCTTTCTAAAAGCAATGGAGAATTCATCACTTAACTCTGAGCAATAACCAAAGAAATGCATTTTTGAAGACTGACTAAAATGTGAACCTTAAATGGACAAGAGAACTTTAACGAGGTCTTGTGCAATTTGTGGCAGCATCAAAACAAAAATCGGTAAGCTACATACTTGTGCATTCATCTCTCAAAAGAGAGAAGAACCTGCACTTTGCATAAATAGCTAACCAAAACATTAAGTATGCACAAGTGCACTCTAATTTGGGAGACTCCATTCGTTTCTTTAAGAACTGCATTGGACAGACAGCTTCTTTAGATGTGTGTAGATTATGTTCTTGAGATAGCAAAGAGAGATGCTGGTTTTTTACTTTCAAGAATTATTTTTCAGTTTTCTTGTTGTCAAAATTACTTATGAGTTTCCAGAAGCGGCATTAAATTCAGATAGTCTGGGCCCTAAAAATAAAAGCATGAGATGAAACGTACCTACCTCTTCAACGTTAGCTCAAGCCCAGCAGAATCAGCAGCGCCAAGCACTCTGGAGTTGAATTAAAGAAAGATGTTATTTAATAAAAGATAGAAAGAAGTGATATATACATTTTTTCAAGTGTAAGGAGAAGATGGCATAGTGAATACTGATTCTACAGCTTAGTGATCCACAGACGCAAGACAGACAGCAAGTATGAGTGTGAGTAGGGACAGGGTAGGGTGACAGATGGCAGTTGTAAACGTCTTTGCCTTGTACAATTCTTATAGCATATGATCAGTAAAATTTTGCTGAATGAATAAAGGCCATATGTATGGTATTATGATTTCAACTTTTTAAAGAAACTGAAAACAGGAAATAAGACTGCAGAAACTAAACATAACGTTTAAACATGAACATTACAAAACAAAAACGTAAGTAATTTTAACAACGAGATACACAGAACACAGAATTGCCGATGTTTGTAATATCCATTGCTCTTACAATCAAACTGTGTTTGTTAAAGTAGAGAAAGATATACTTCCTGACTTATTTCTTCGACAGGGAGTATTCCCTGCACTCTGCCTCACTCTCTAATTCCTGACCTTCTATAAGCTAATCATTTAAATAAATACATTAGATCCTACTACTTTCCTACTTACATTTTCCAACAGTTTCCAACTGTACTTCACAAAACAAACAAACCCTATGTCATGAACTACAAACCCCGGCATCAATTGGCCTCTCTCTACTCAAACTTCCCACCTCCAACTCATCTTCCCTTCTTTTCATATCCCATTGCACTAGGACCTTCTTCTCAGTTCCAGAAATACACCAAGCTGTTCCCCACATCAAGGCTTCCAGGAGCAGAGCTCACTCTCTTGGAATATCACACTACTTGTTCCTTGCCTGGGTCACTAGTCATTTCTCAGTCTATGAGGAGACTTTCTCCCATAATCGTGAGGGTAATAGGTCCCCCGGTGTTATTTTCTCTCATTGCTCGCTGCCGTTTCCCTGCATAGTACTTATCACAGGTGATAATCATGGAATTTAAGTATTGATATGATCATCACCGGCTTCCTCCTTTCCAGTGGGAACTCCATTAGGGTGGAAATTGTTTCTTTGTAGCCATCACCTGGCAGAAAGCCTGACATACAGCAGGTGCACGGTGCTTCTGAGATGAGTTTATAACTTAAAATAGTGCCAGGATTCTATTTAAATTGCCTAGAAAAACCTCAGTCTTGTAGGTGAAATGGCAATTTAATGACAAAGAAAAATTCAATTCCACCTAATTGTCCATGAAAAGGCAAAGGTGACTCCAAAGAACTACAAAAACACAGAATTGGAATAGTAAGAAAGAATCTATACTGTGTCTATTACATGAAACCTTAAAGACAGTGTAGAGCAAAATATTTTATTCATTTAATTTTTAAAAATTGTATTATGGTAAGAACAATTAGCATGAGATTTACCCTCTCAACAAATTTGTATGTGTGTATAACAGTATTGTTGACTCTAGGTATAATGTTGTACAGCAGATCTCTAGATTTTATTCATCTTGTTCAACTGAAACTTTATGCCGATTGACTAATAACTAACTCTCCATTCCCCCATCCCCTCAGCCTCTGGCAACCACCATGTCATGCTTTGATTCTATGAATTTGACTCTATTAGATATCCTATGTAACTGGAATCATGCAGGGTTTTTCTGTGCCTCGCTTATTTCACTTAGCATAATGTGCTTAAGGTTCATCCATGTTGTTGCATGTTGCAGAATTTCCTTCTTTTTTTAATGGCTGAATGAAATTCCTTTGTATATATCACCTTTTCTTTGTCCATCCATCTGTTGACAGCATTTAGGTTGTTTCTGTGTCATGGCTATTGTAAATAATGCTATGATGAACATGGGAGGGCTAGTGTGTGTTCATGATCCTGTTTTCAATTCTTTTGGATAAATACCCAGAAGTGGGATTGCTGAATGATATGGTAATTATATTTTTGATCTTTTGAGGACCACCCCTTACTGTTTTCTATAATGACTTCACCATTTACATCTCCACCAACAGTGTGAGAGTGTTCTCATTTCTCCACATCTGCATTAACACTTGTCTTTTGTTTTTTGTTAAGCCGTTTTTAAATTTTGAACTTCTAAAATCTCCATAAATACTTATTAAAATAATGTTATATAGCTCCTTTTTATGTTTATTCATTTTAGAAAGAGACAGAGCATGAGCAGGGAAGGGGCAGAGAGAGAGGGAGACACAGAATCTGAAGCAGGCTCCAGGCTCTGAGCTGTCAGCACAGAGCCCAACATGGGGCTCAAACCCACAGAAGGCGAGATTAGGACCTGAGCCAAAGTTGTATGCTCAATAAACTGAGCCACCCACGCACCCTTATTGTATAACTCTTAAATCAAGCTCTCTTTTTAAATTTTTTGCTAAGGAAATAAATCATATAGTGAGCCTCCTACTCCAGGGCAACAGGTATAGATAGTGATGATTTAATAATGAAGAGTCAAGTGATAGTTGGCACTTTCAAAAAGCCAGTGTCACATGAAGCAGAGCAATTCAAATGGTTGCTGAGAACACAGTAACAATTTTCATTTTAAATGTTCAATGCAAAATAAGAAGAAAAAACACATTCTGCAGGATTTCTTTTTTCATTTACAAAGACTACTATTTAAGGAGAAAAGCAAAATAGCAATTAAAAACTGTTTAACAAATATGGGCAAATGATAGTACAAAATGTTAACAACCAGAAGCACTGAACCATGTGGATTTAGACTCCCAAAGTGGCCTTTAAATGATTGGAAAATTCAAGTGCTCTTGTCTGCTATTCTGAAGTGCTTTTGTGTAATTCAGGAATTGCAACAAGAGGACCGTTCTTGGCTTCATAAGTACTTCCTATGAACTTTTGAAATCCAATCTGTATCTTCATGTACACAAATATCACAAGGGTAATAACTACAGATGGTAAGTGAACTCTAAATCTCCAGCCTCCTGGGGTTTGTCATTCCTAATTTTTGTTATCATAAGCTTTTTTTTTTATCAATACACTATATAAACAGATTCCATTTATAGGTATTTTTAGAGCAAAGGAAAAGATCCTATATAATCTCTACTGTCACAATATTTTTGGTTTACTTATCTAAGAGAGAAATGTAGTGGTATGTTCATATATCTAAAACTTTATTTGGGTGAGTTGATTAAAAAAGAATAGTATGATTCTTCTGAAAGTCTCCATTTTCCCGCTTTGGGGTAGTGTCACAATAACCATAATATATAGATGGATTAGATTTTTCTCTTACATTTTCAGACCCGACATTTATGATAGGATTTCCTAATGACCCCACAGATCAGGGGCTTTTCAGGAGATAAATAATGTCACGTCTGTAATACTAATTAATCTAAGTTTTTTTTTTTTAATAAAAGGAGTTTTAGACAGAGCTTGAATGCATAGTGGCAACTAAACCAGGTCCAAGTCTACCTAGAGATGAAGATGATAGAGATGGGGATGGAAATGGAGATAGGAAGAGGAGGAGGAGGAAGAGAGAGAAAGATTCTCATGAAGCGAGGGCAAAGCATAGACCAAATATCACTGGCACCTGTCAGAAGTTTTAAAGTGCTAATTTATATAAATATCCGAGATTATGAGTACTTTTTGGACACAGATTGAAATAAATGCTGGCAAGAGACATGAGCAAAGTGTGACAAAACATCAAAAGACAGTAATAACCAATAACCAAAAACTAATAGATTACACAGTGCTCTTAAATTTTCTTGTCAGAGGATTTGGGAAGCCAAAAATGACATACAAGAGGTATATTTAAAATTAAGTCTTCTATTTCTTGTTATTTAACTGCACAAATCTATAGATCATAGTCCTATGTTTTGGCAAACTAACATTTTATGCATCTTCAATAAGAACATCATTATTTCCCAGCAAAAGAGTTCAATATTGATACTAATGTTAGGAAAAAAATGGAAGAATGTAATTCTGATTTCTACATCTACTTCACTTCGTTTTCTTTTGACTCATAGAAGTGTCCCCTCTCCATTTAAGACTAATCCTTGAACATATGATCTTTGTATGATTCTTCCCCAACTCCATGCACTTGAACCTTTCTGTCTCCCTCTCCATTGTTGCCTCAAAGATGCCCAAATTCCCCCCAATCTTTGAGCAATCATTTTCCTCTCTTCTTTATTTCACTAAGAAATTTCACTGGGTATATTCCTCCTGCTTCAAATTCCATCCCTGCCACCCACTTCCCGTGAAAATTGGTTTTTGTCTCATTCTCACCTGAAGCTACTCTCCATAAAGACAACTTCTAATCATAAAATTCAGTTGTTTTCTAAATCCTCATTGTCATCCTACGCATTATTGACAAACTAGTTTTTCATGAAAAAAAATCTGCTTCCTTGACATCATGAAATATTGCCTTTCACTGGATCCTTCTAAATTTTTGAGGGGTGTTTTTTGTTGTTTTTTTCTCCAACTATTCTTCCCATTCCTTTCACTGCTCTCGTCCCTTAATTGCCAGTGCCCCCTCATCTTTATCCATTGATCTTCCTTTCAATACTCTCTTCATGGATTCCTATAATTTTCATTTATTGGCTCAGTGAAAAGTATGCCATAGAAAACTATGTATCTCCAGCAGCTGCTGAATCCTTCTTGGATGTTGCACTGACATATTCAACTCAGTGTTCTCAAACAAGGTATTTTCCCCCAACTATATCAGCTCCTAAAAATTCTCAATTTTTTTTTCAATTCTCTTTGACTTTTCCCTTTCCATAAATCTTTTTTGTTATGTCCAAGCAGCACTCAAATATAGTGGGTTTGTTTTTCACAGTGCTATTCGCATCCCCCTTTTCCTATTTACTTCTGCTGCCATGATTGAACCCTAGATCCTTATTAACATGGTCTCTTCCCCCTTCCTTCCCCTTCAATACCTCTGCTGTCTTGTTATCAAAGTTGACATCCTTCAACATATCTCAGATTATATGTTTCCTTCACCAAAAAGTTTCAATAGTTCAAATAAAGATCAGACTCCACCTGTCATTCATAGACCTGGT